TGTCCTTGTACTTTTGCTTTCGTCCATCTTTGTACACCTCGCGACGCAATGGGTGGTGCGTGATGCAGTAGGCGAAGGCTTCGTACAACGTAGGCTGGGCCACTAAGAGAATGGAGTCGCGGTTGGAGAAGCTATGCAGCACAGACCAAGCATCCCAAGCATGCATTTATTGTCGAGACGTTGGTGAATTGTGGGGATCCCATCGTCAGCTCTGTCAGCTCTAGAAGAATTGAACAAAAGCAGTTCATCCAAATAACGATGCGAACACCTCCCATCCCTGAATCCCTGAAGGCAACGCTATGCGTAACATAGGTAACTACCCCCTGCAACTTGTGCAGTAGTTAAAGCTTTGTTTGCTTGCCTCCTCGTCGTCTTTCCGCTCGATGAAGGAGAAGGCACCGCAAGTAAGGCCTAGAGCCTTCAGAGTTGTGGGCTTTTGGGCATCGCAGGGAGCATTTGCAACATCGACGAAGTCGAGGGCCGTGCTCGTTGGATTCTGGAATCTGGATTTCGGGGATCCAGCTCCTTGTCATGGTTAAACTATCGTCAAAAGAACGTCCCTCTTTTGGAGCTAAGCCAAGGCCTTGCCAGAAGTCGAGAAGTCCATGTCCATGACCTCGGTCGGTTGGCAGCACTAGCCTGCACACTATCATGCAGCTGCGACCAAGATCAAACGATATCAAATGTGAACGCAACGCAGCCAGCCAGGCAACGAATGGGAGACTGCTAGAGTCTGAGGAATCACTGCTTGAATCACTCCTGAGCAGGCAGCCACAAAGAGGCACTCCTCGCAGCTCAACGCAGAACACAAGTGAGCCAAAATTGACAGCCTCAGGCATATTCAGACATACTAGACATCGTGACATTTACCAAGCCAAGATGCTTATTGCTCTTGCCCTCCTTCTTCTTGTGAACCATCTTCTGCAACTTCTTCCTGAGGATGTATGTCTCCAGAACATTCCAGAACGGCCGGGCACACACCTTTACCGTTTTCTAGGCACTTCAACTCTCTCCTTGCCCTCTGCGCCATGCTCTGCAGAACATATCTAAAAGCATAGCCTTAGCGACATGAAATTGGATCATTTCGGGCATGAGCTCGCATGGGGGGCTCCGTACACTGGCATACTCCCAACTACTCCACCTCACATTCTTTTGGCTCAAAGCGAGCAAAGAGGCTCAGGCACGCCTCACGCGATGTCGCTCGTCCAACGCTGCTGGCGGGACTCTGTAAGCTAGGCGTCTTAGAAAAGGGAGGACGATTGCAAGCTCGGAGCCAGAATTCCTTTCGCAAGAAGCGCCCTGAACCTCAATGCCCGAATGGCCTGTAGAATCAGTTCATCTCAAGCCAAACGAAGTCTGATGTCAAGGATCTGCTTTTCACCTTCTCTCACCTCTATGGCCAGCCGACTTTAGTTGAGGCGAGATTTAACAACCCTGCAGTACACCGGTAGGCATGTATGGCAAGAGTTTTGGACCATCCACAAGTGAATTCTAGCACACTTCAGCCCGAGGTTCAACTTCTTTGCGGCTTTCTTGGCCTTCTTCGCCTCTTGGCAGTCAAGATACCGCTGGCATGTCTTGGTCCCATGGCCTGTACTCTCTCGACTCCGTTCATAGGTGTTCACAGGAAGAGGCATTTGACGCCTGGGTTTATGGAGGCTCAGGAGATGCGCCCATCCAACTGCAAGCAGTCCACGCAAGTGTAGCAACATCCTCAGCATACAACGACTGCAGTACTTAGGCATCACGTTAGGAGTCTTCAAACATGCTGGCAACAAGAGGCCTCTTTCTTTGCCTTCTTCTTCATCTTCCTTTGTTCATTGACGTTTGTCTAACAGAAACAATCCACAGCTGGGGGTTTGCTAAGGTGAGCCAAGCTTCTTTAAAGCCTTGGCTTCCTTCTTGCCATGTCCATCCTGCAAGAACAAGCGCATCTGCCGACCGATGCGTTGCTGCAGGAGATTGAAAAGCCTTCTTCTCAGCATCAGCACTTAGGTCTTGCAGCTGAGGAGATCTTCCTGCGGAGATTTGGAAGCACAAATCTCCAGTAAGTTCCCGCCGCGACTGCGTGTTGCGAGACTCTGGTGCTTCGCTCTGGCAGCCCCGACATCTCCCCATCAGTGTCTAGCAGTCTAGCATCTGGGAATGTGTGATGTTGCCAAGCAAAGCGGCCTCGTTTGGAACTCATGTCGCAGAGCGTACTCCGATCTCTTGCTTCGCTTAATCAAGGCCACCTGTCTTGAAGAGCCGCGGGTGTCACAAGGTGTGACAACCATTGAGTCTCCGGCTTTGCCCTACAGATGCTTCATTGCTTTTACGCCCCACCTCCACACATCCTGCTTCTGCACGGCTCAGCCATGGACAGTGCGTGGCTGTTCACGGATGAAGGATATGTGCTTTCGTTTCTTCACCACTGTGTCTGTTTGATGCCGCCCGTGCGCTTCCGATAAGCCATCACAGAAGAATACGAATTCTGCAGGGTTATTGACAGGTCTTGCAACCACTGTCATACAAGGCCTTACACAGTAGTGCTACATGCGGCCTTCTTATCTTTAGCCTCAAAGGCGGAACGTCAAGGGAATGCACCATGTGACAGAACCAAAGAGCCTTCAATCTCTCTTTAGCCTCTACATTACCACTGCTCACAGGGTCTTCGGCCTTGCACTCTTTTCGCCGTGGCTGTAGATGTCAGCGTGTCACAACAGGAAACAACAAGTAGCACCTCGCGTGCTTGGTTGGGCAGAAGGGACCACTTCCAAGCCCTCCATGTTGACCACAGTGAACGCACAAAACAAGGTGCTGGTCCTGTGAAGAGCTATATTTAGAGCTGGTATACTGTCTTCGCATGATCTTTGCAACAGCAGAAGGGGGCTGCAAGGTGCTCGTCGTCGTTTCATCTTGTACATGCGCCGCTTGTCCGATAATGGCCAGCGGTGCAGGTGCAAGTGCGCCAATGAAGCCCTCGAAGCTTTAGTTCGGCTGGCGTGACAACGCATTAGTCTTAGGCTGTCGCTTTCTTCTGTTTTCGATGCGCATGGGAGCAGCTTGTGCAAACCTTGGAATTCTTGCCAACTTGTGTGTTCATATCTCGAGGTCCTCTGATGAGGCAGATATGTCTGCGGCTTAGCCACGACCTGAGCCGCTCGACTGGGTTGCTGTTGCCCAGAAATTCTGAACTGGGGTGTCATGCTCAGGCCTGCTTTGCCATTCCTGGCAAGTCACAGGCGCTCAAGGGCACTTATGACTTTATCATGCAAGCCTATTTTCACTACTGCCGGCGTGCTCTGCACTTTCATGAACTTCCCCAAGACAGGCGTGGTGGTCGCTCTACAGCAGGCAAACAGCAGCTTACGGCTACAGTGTCCTATCCTAATCCAAGATATTCATGGCAATCTGTGAGCGAGTCTGTCTGCGGCTAGGCTCATACGAAAATCTACAGCGTGGCAGGCTTGCCTTATCCTGGATTGCTGAGCACAAGACCTGCAACCTCTGCCATCTCTGCCATTTCAGGCGTAGCACGTTCAAGAAGTGCAAAAGGGGCAGGCTAAGGCAAGATAAAGCCATCCTCTCCAAAAGATGAGCTGTACAAGAGGCTGTTTGGGACCGCACGGGGTCAAGCTGCAGCAAACCCTTCTCGGCATTGGACATTGGATTGCAATTTCTGGTGCTGAAGAAGCTGCCTGACTTGACCCCACTGAGTAGTAGCCTCGACCCGTCAGCTCCAACTTCACGGTACAACAGTGCTGGCGTACAGATCCCACAACCACGACCATATATAATAACTTCTTATGGAACAAGGGCAAGTCGTGAACGCATCGGCAAGTGCCGGCAACGACTTGTATACCCAGCAGAACGACACGCAGACATTGGTACAGTGAAGTCTTCCCTCAGGAAGTGCCCAACCTGGCGGGGTATGTCAATGCTTTGCTCCAACATTGTCCGATCGCACAAGACTGCGGAAGTTTGAAGCAGCTCTTAGACTAAGATCGTTGTCACCGGGCTCTCTTATACTGGTCTGTGTGATGCCATGGCTCGATCAGCCAAGTATTCCTCGTCCCCTCTGTGCTACAAAACCCAACCCCTGGATTGCTGTATATCAATATGTGAAACAATATGACAGTTCATCTGCCATGGTGCGGTCGTGTTCTTTAGTTGATGATCGACGGTTTCTGAACAGTGGGCAACTTTCCGGACAACATGCCATGAAAATACAGAAGGCCTCGAAGGGGCTTTGAATACTGTACCAGTCCCAAACGCCCATTTCTAATTCTCGGTTTATCTCGAAAGGATCTTAGTCATGTACTTCGTCGAATCAGCAGAGGAAGGGACTGCAGCTATGGACTTGAAAGCAAGACGAGGGCAGCGGACGGAGTAGAAATAGCCGACCAGCCGGCATGATGGCAGAAGCTAAGCATCTTAACCCCCCGCAAGGTGTGCACGCACCTATGAACGCTGGGCGAAATGGCCATCGGAGAGGAATAGCCTGGCCGGTGCATTGGTGCTGCCTCTTGGGCGGAACTCTGCATCAGGCACTGCAATGCAACACAACAAGCTACGCAGCACGCAGTGCACGAGCTCGATCAGTTCATGACCGTACTCATGTCAAGACTCGCGGGAAATAATCGGAAACCAAGCAGCAAAGTAGATCCAGAAACGAAGCGCTTGCATATTCAGAACCTCTGCCAAGCTCCCATGTACAAAGATGCTACTGCTAACTGGCCCGTAGCGGCATCTTCATCACATGCAGACTCAGTACTGGAAGGTAAGGAGCCTTGCACGTCTCTGGGACTTCAAACGATCGTCAAGTCTTTTGCTCCGAGACCACGTGGGTCCTCACTGAGCCGGGCTTGCCACATGTGAACACTCAGCTGGCCTTGTGCCACCTGATGTTGGCCTCCGTACAACACCAACACTCAAGCAGCCAAGTCCTCGTAGACTGTGAATCTCACTTTGACACCAGCTGCCTGAGCAGAAGCTCAAAGACTATGTTGCTACGTCACGGAGTGAAGCTCAAAGGGCCCTGCCAATCCATCCTCTGGAGCATCGGATTTTCCCACCTTAATCACAAAAAAAGCTAAAAACACAAGTATAATCATGCACCTAAATATGCATAGATTTAGACGAGTATGTTAATCGTGGTCAATCCGTGGGCTCAGTCATGTGACTGGCATCACGATGGCTCGAGAACAGCATTTTGCAGTCAAAGCACAAATATCTTGCCCTCGCGACGAGATGCAGCTTTGTGGTCAATATCCACATCTGCCTTGATCCATCCGTGCGAGTCCTGGCCGGGTTCGCCAGCCCCCACGCTGTCCGCTCGCCCCAGTGATGCAAGGGGACGCCGAGGTCAGCGGGTACATCGATATACGTCACACTCTGTCTGTCTCTCTCGCTCGCTCTCTCTCTCTCTCCTGCACGCATGCCCCCCCCCCCCCCCCCCCCCGGAAGAGGAGAGCCGCCCCCAGGGGCGCGCGACGTCCGAGGGTCAGTAGGTGGGATTGACCGCGTGTTGCAGTCTCGGGTGATATTGGGGGTTCGAATGCATTCCACCCAGATAGCGCCTCCCCAACTCTCTTCTTCTTCTTCTTCTCCACGCTCAAGAGGGTCCCCCCAATGGAGGTCCCCCGGCCACGACGGCCCAGCGGTTCTGGTCCAAGGCCCCCAGGCTTGCGTTTGAAGCTTAGGGGGTGTTTGGGGGTGGTCATCTTTACCGGCCCCCTGAGCAAACTCCATCAGCTCATTTCTCTGATGGTTTCGGGTCTATTTCGTGTCCCTCAGTGTCTGGGCCCCCTTGTCGATCATCTTCCTGCTGGCCATCGTGGTCTCCTTCTTGCGGTTGTGTGGTAGGCGTGGCACTTTCTCCTCCTTCTCCCGCAGCTGACGGTCCCCTTGTCCCCGTTGTAGTGGCCTCCTCTCTCTCCGGCGCTGTCTCTGAGCTTCCTCGTGGTTGGTCAGCTTGCCGTTTTCTCTTCTGTCCTCGTCGCTGTGGCTCCTCCTGGTCCGCGTTGTCCCCTTCTTTGTCGTCGAGGTTCGTCGAGGTCTCCGGTTCATGCTGGGTACTCCCCTGCTCTCTCGTTTCGCTCGAGCAGTTGTGCTTCTGGTCCTCGTCGTTCTGGTTGTCGGCGAGCTCGTCGTGGCGCTGGTCGTGCTCCTCCTCGACGTCGGCTTCCGTGTTGTCGGCGAGCTCGTCGTGGTACTGCACGTGCTCGCTGTAGTGTGGCCCCCTTCTCGTTGCACTCGACTGCTCTGTACTTTCCTGTGCTGCTTTTTCTTCTTCCCCCTCCTCCTTGTCGTTGGAGTTCGTCGTGGTCTCCGGCTTGTGCTGGGTGCCCCCCTGTCTTCTCGCTTCTCTTCGGCTGCTCTCCAGGTCCTCCTCGGGCTCGTTGGTCGAGTTGTCGGCGGGCTCGTCGTGGTGCTGGTCGTACTCCTCCTCGATGATGTCCTCTTCCGTGCTGTCGGGGGGCTCGTCGTGGTGCTGCTCGTGCTCGATGTAGTTTGGCCCCCTTCTCGCTGCACTCTGTTGTTCTGTACTTTCCTGTGCTTCTTGTTCCTCGTCTTCTTCTCCCTCTTCTCGTTCTTGTTCTGGCACTGGCTGCAGCGGCTGTCGGCTCTGTGGTGGTGGTCCCCAAATTGACCAGCTTCTCGTCCCCGTTGTTCTCGTTGGTGAGGGCGTGGCTTCCCATCGGTCCGTTGGTCGGCTCGACCCACTGCTTTCTGCCTCGCTCCCCTCTCGTTCTGCACTGGCTTCCTGGTCGTGTTGTTGAGGGTCTCCATCTTCTTCTTCTTCTGGTTCGTTCCCCACTATATCATTGGCCACCGCGACGATGTGGAGCCCCTTGTCCAAGTCGGGTGTTCGTGTTGGTGGTTCGGTCGCGGCCCTTTCAGGGTAGATGGTTCGCGTCCTCGTCGTCCAGGTCTTGTAGTCGAGGTGCTCGTGGTGGTAGAGGTCCGTAGAGGCGCTCGCTCGGCTGGCTTTGCCACGGGGAGGGACAGCCCTCTTGGCGTTCCCCGTGTTACTCTGCTTGCGGAAGACGGTCCCCCATTTCCTTTTCTGGTAGTAGGCCTCCAAAATTGTTTCCAGCGTCTCGAGCGTGTCCCGGGTCAGCACGGTCACCTCGTCCTCGTGCTCGTTTTTTCGGGACAGGATCTGGCCCACCAGGTTGAGGAGGTGTTCGTGTGGGGTGGCTGCTTCGGTCGTGTTGGAGTCGCTGTCCACCAGGTGGGGTCCCCGCCAGGTGTGGATTGTGTTTGCCAGCTCCCGGACGCCATCTGTGTCCAGGGTCACCGAGGTTGATGCGGTCTCCAGCAGTCGCCTCCATCTGGTCAGGGTGAGGTGGACGAAGTCGTAGAGGTCTCCTCTCGGTGGCCTTCCTTCTGGGTCCCCTTCTTGGTGGGCGATGACGTCTGCCGGGTGGCACCCTTGCTCCGGCTTGCTGTCGGGGTCCTCGTCCGTCGGTGTTGTTCCGTTGGGGAAGAGGTCGGTAGCGTGTTGGGTCCTCGCCTGCTCTGCGGTCTCCTCGCGTCTCTCCTCCAGGTACTCGTCGTACTGTATCTCTGCTAGCCTCTGCTCCTCCTCCTCTTCGAGCTCCCATCTGCGAATCTCCTCCTCCATCATCTCTCTTCTTCGGCTCTCCTCTTGCTCGTCCTCTCGGAGTTGGTCCATCTCTTGGTCTTCGGTTGCCCCTTGTTGCTGCTGTGGTGGTCGGCTGTCCCTCTGCATCAGGTCGATGTGGTCCAGGAAGTTGTCGATGATGTCGTCAGGGTCCTCCTCCTCCTGCTTTGGCTGCTGCTCTGCTTCCTCTGCTGCCCCCGCTGTTTCTGCTTGCGGCTGCTGCTGGGGGTATGCGCCCTCGACTTGCTCTGTCCCTGTCTCTTCTTGGGGGGGCTCTCTTTCGTCCTGCTTCTCCTTCTCTGCGTTGGGTCCCTCGTTCTGCCCGGCTTGGGCCGCTGCGGGTGTGTCTGCGTGTTCCGTTGCTCGCTTCTTGCTCTCTTCCTGTTTTGTTATCTTGGGTGTGGAGGCATTGCTGCTCGACCAGTGGGTCTCCTCGCTGGAGCTAGGGGCTGTGGGCGGGGGTTGCTTGGCTCGGGCGTGCGGCGGCTGCTTGGTCTGCGGTGGTCCCCTTTGCGTCATCGCCCCCTGCGGCCCTTGCGGGCGCTGTGGTGGGGGTTTCGGCAGGGGGTGCGCGGGCGCCCCCTCAGGGCGCTGCGGGGTGGTGCGGAGGTGTGGCGGGGGGTCCGTGCTTGCTCTTCCACGGTCCTGTCCTGGTTCTGGCTCTTTGGGTCGCTTGTGCATGTTGAGCAGCTGTGCCCACTCCTCTCTGGCTTTCTCCTTTTCCGGCGCGTCCAGGGGCCGGACCCGCCTCTTCTGCTCCTCGAAGTCTCGGCGCTGCTGCTCGTTCCAGTCTGCCCAGTCTTGGTTTTCTCGGTTTTTTCTTTCTGTGCGGATGGGCCCCCTGCCAACTCTCTCTCTCTCTCTCACTCTTTCGCGCTTTCGCTCTTTGGCTCTTTCATTCATCATTCATGCAGTCATGCTTTCTTTCGTTCTGTATGGGGGTTGGGGGCAAGCGCCCGCGCAGTCGCGTCCCCCCCGAGTTTGGAGGCACAAGAGCGAGCAAGCTGTTTCTGAGACAAGCCCTTCACCCGAGACGTGACACTCTGCAGCACTCTGCAGCTGCCCTCACCTGATTCACCTGTCCCACCTCAAGACATTCACTGAGCCCATCAGCCCAAGGCACTGAGCACGAAACCCCCCATAACCCCCAACTTTCCAGGTCAAGGGGCGACGAGGCTACAGTGTATTGAAACAGACAGGCAGACAGGCTCAGTTCTTTCTCTCCTGCTCCTTCACTAAGTTGCCGAAGCCCTCGTGCACTTGTGAACCCTTTCACACTCTCATCTGCCATGCTGGGCAGTGGCTGAGCAAGTTCTATCCCTAGAATCTGCTCTCAACATGAGCACTCCTTCCACTCAATGACTTCACCCGTGATGGATTCCGTGAGAACGTCCTTGCGTGGAAGCTCACCTGCAGAGTGTTGAAAAGGCGCTTCGCAAGGGCTTTCACCCTGTTCTTCCATCCGTGCCTCTGCCTCGTTGCCCCAAACTTCCAAAATGTTTAAGAATTCAACTTCGATGTGGCTCGTCTATGGAAAAACCGATTTCCACAATTCTGGGGTGGTGCGTGTGAAACTAAAGAGGATCTCGTTGCCCTTGCGCGATGCAGGCGAGAGACTTGATGGCATGCCCCACCTCTGCTGCATCCAGCACTGGGACGGGCATTTATCGTGCCTCTATGCCGTGCCTTCCATGTGCAACTGAGGAGCATCCACCCCCACTGCCAGGCATCGAACATGAAGCCTTTGCCCTTCCCTTTGCCCTGGCGAAAGCTCAAGATAGGATCGAATATGATCGAATCAAAGGTCAGGAACCCGGGCCAGATTCCCACAAGCCTTGCCGCCTTTTCCAAATCCCTTCGGCTTGTCAGCTTCTTCCATTAACTCCTTGTCCTGGCGTACCACATGCTTCAATCTTCTTTCACGGGCCACGCAGCAGTACTCCAAGCTGCCAGCTGGTCCTGCTTGATCGACTCTAGGGCAATCTCTGCGGCACTTTGCTCTGCCTCCAAACACGTCCCCATGCATTCCCTAACGGCTTAACGTGCCGTAGCGAAGCTGAGACTTCCCACGTGGGGCATGCTTCTGATGGCCTTCTGTTTTGTGGTGCATACCTTGGACATCACTGAACCAGGCAAGCGCCCGACAACACCGTTGGGCGCTGTTAGCAACGACATCCCAAATCCCGGTGCAGATCAGCTACGTGTCCGGCCCACATTCGCTCACTCCACTCGCCCGGCAGCGCGGAGAGCTTGACAGTCGCCTATGAAGCTTGAGCTCTTGACGTCAATCGACTGCAATGGAAACAGTCACAGCGTTGGAAGTCCTGGTGCCCTCCGCCGTTGTAGGTCTTCGTCTCGTACACGGTCTCACCCTGAATTTTCGACTCCATTTCGACTCCGACATGCTTATGTTAGCTTCTGTTGACATACGATCTTGCCAACTATCGTCCAGCTGTGCGGTGAGAGGCACCTTCTGCAGATAGCGCTTGGCGATCTTCATGACCAAGGCCTAAGCTGTGCATCGAGTTCTCTTCGGGTTCGTCAAAATGTTGCTTTGAGGTGCCGCCCTGCCTTGTGACTCGTGTGAGACTGCTTACTGACCGAGGTTGCCACATTAAGCAGGGTCTTCGGCGTGATTGCTGGATTTCCTTCGGCTTCTTGCTTGGCCTCCCATCATTCCCATCTCATGCCAGAACAGACCGTGAGGATTTAGGGCTTGGGGGGCTTGGGGGGGGAATCTTTGAAAGACCTTGCGCTCAGCAATCTCTTCTGGAGTTCTGGGCTTCCTCTTCTTGTCCTGCCGCACACAAAGAGGTACAAGATGGTACACGGTTACGGGTACCAACATTCCACTGTGCATGCAGAGAAGGGCACGAAGCAAGGTTCGAGGAAAGTTTCGGATGAACTGACTACGCATATCAGTTTCGCTTCTTGCCATGCTTCTCTCTCATGCAGGACCTGGATTCGGCTGGTGCAATGGAGGCCTTGGCACTTAGCCGGCTTCTGTTGGTGGGTAGCTTGCACTGCGTCCCCCGAACCGCCCCGACGGTCCACATGAGCGAACTACAATGAACACCCCAGTCCCGCTGCACAGGCGGCTTCAGCACGGCCATCTGTGATGAGAAGGCCATGACAGCCTGCTCGGCAGCAGACCTTGCAGTAGGCAACCCGTGCACAGAAGCCGAAGTTGATCAAATCACTCGGGCGCAAGCTTCTCTGCATCTTTTTGGTTGATGCACAGGTGTCCAGCGTACTCCTGGCCCTGGCACAGGCTGGAAGATGTCGCAGAACCTGCTGCCTGTCTCCCTTTTGGGCCTGAATGCAGTCGAGCTTGACGATCGCCTGGTACCTTCTTCAATGATGCATACCGCGATGAAGCTCCCGCCCAGCTTGCTTACTTGCCAGCGAAATCGAAAAGGAACCATCTGCAGCTTGCAGCTGGAGCACTGATTCCCAAACCTCATGTCAAGCCGCAGCCAAGCAACAACCAAAGCAATCGCAGTCTGAACAAGTGACAGATGGTGGCTAAGCTATCATTTAGACTGATGTTTGTGCCGTGGGGCTTGTTCGTGGTGTAAGAAATATCACCTCCGAGATGCTGCGTGCAAAGGCAAGACATGTCGTGCACCACACCATCGAGGAAAAGCTCGGTGCTGCCGAGATACTCTTCGTGACAGGTCGCTGACAATACCTCTGGCAAAAGTGATTCCTCAGATACCACACGCATTGCTCAGAACAGCCAGGGGTTCATGTGCTGCGCTGTGCCCACGGGGCATACTTGCCATGTGCACATCTATCTGTACATGTAGATGTGCTACCCATCCATATGTATTTATGTTTGTGTACTGCATATTGGACATACAGTTGATACATGTACTCTGGCTTCCGTTTCACTTCTTGGCCAGGATTCAGCTGAGTCTTTGGGTCCTTGGACATCGCCTGTCCAGGCGATGGCGCTGGTGCCATCGCCATCCTCAACAGCATGGCAAGACTACGGCAAGCAAACGAGGTGCTTTTATGTGCAGCTTTTCAGAAACAACAGATTGTCCAAGACATCGGTGCCTATAAGCTTCCAGCCTTGATCGTGGCGCTGATAAGCAGCCACGCGCTGCTCAGAGCTACGGAGCCAATACAGAGCCAAGGCAAGGCTGCAGAAGACCAGCACAACCATGCACGCAGCAATGTTACGGCATGGTTCAAGATATTGTTCCGTATTTCTCCTGGGATGGCATTGAGCCGCTGGACGCTTGCTAGACCGGTAGACACATCGGCAAAGTGGCAGCTGTTTCTCAGGCTAGGACGATTTTAAAATACGTTAAGCAGCTGCGATGGCACTCGGCTCATCGACAACCATACGGCTGCACGATTAATTGTATGAATCCTCAGCTCAGGGCGAAGCCAGCCTGGCAGCATCAAAGAAGCGATCAACAGACGGACTCGGCCGAAGGTCCTACAGTATCTGCTCGGAGGCGGCCCATGTCAAAGCAATGTTTTGATTTTCACTCTAGATGAGCTGTGGCTGAAGCACCCAAAAACTGTATACACGCCCTGACGCTTCGGATTTGTGTCTTCCCATGTGTCCAGAAGTGCCCGGCACTACGAGGGAACCGCGTAGCAGGTTGCTTGATAACGCGGCATGCGCCGACTGAGACCAGGGTGTGCAGTCGGCATGCCAACGGACTTTTTCTGGCCGCCTGCCGCTTAGCTCACTGCGTCGCAAATAGGGTCCAGGGCATAGCGCTTAGGATCTTGGCTTTACTGACATACGCATATCCACGTAGCTTCGGACGACCTCTTCCAATACCGCAGTGGGTGTAGTCGGCATCGACCCATAGACCGCTGCCGCCCCAGAGGGTTTGTAGGACGGCGTGTTGTCCAGAAACCTTGT